TTTTTTTTTTTTTAATTAGAATGGTCATTCTTTCTCTTTATACCCTGTATACCTTTGGAGAATCTACTATCACCACATAGAAATGTCCCCAAGACATTCACTAAAATGATAACTAGAATAACGCTCTTTAAACAATTTGATGCTGGCGCTATCTCCTGCCTATATATTCAGCTTTCTCATCTCTGGTACCTCTTTCACACAAAATGTCCCAATTTAAGAGATAAGCCCTAAAATTATTTCTCTTGCTAATCCAGTTATCTACCTTAGTCTCTACCGAATCCTTTTCTTCTCTGTCTCATCATATTTGAACATTTTGTCCTAATCTTCAAGGCTCTGAAGAGCTGCAGTCCTCACACATACCTTTTAACTAGTTCCATGAAAAATTGTCTTCTCTTTTTCACTAACAATAAATGAATGCACTGGTACACAGGCAAGGCAAAGTTTGTGGACAGAGGTAGTATATTTTATTTAATCAACTAGTACAGTTGGAAAAAAGAGAACTTTCAGGCACATGAAGCTGTTCTTCAGGGCTAAAATCAAAGCAACATACTTCAAAGCTGAATGCAAGTTGAGAAAAAAATGCTTTGCCTTTAATTAGATATGTATCAGTTAGACCACCTGAGAGTAAAGATGCTTGCTGCCTGTGGAGCGATAAGGATGTTAGAAAAGAGGAGAGGTGATAAGGTGCTTATCTTCTAATGGAAAGAAAGAGATCAGTAATTTATAGCCTGTGGAACATGAAAAGGTTAGGTGAGGAGAGGGGAGAGGAATTACAATTTGCCAGAAAGCCAATATTCTACGGAGATCTCAATAGAGATTTTTGTTATCCCATAAAGTTATGGCTTCTAGTTGCCATGGACATCTCTGGAAAATGTTTCATGATTGCACATAGTACTGCATGCTTTGATTTCCTACTTCCATGTAGTCCTTTGCAATTTTGCTCTCAGTTTTAATCGTCAAATACAGACCTCTCAGTTTCTGCTGGAAATACTGGCTCAGAAACATCAAGACGAATATACATTCACACTGACAACTAACAATGGGGTTGTACTAAAGCATTCATTTGCTCCAGCATCATGAATCGGAGATACCCACCTATAACACCACCACATGTTTTGCTAACCGAGATTGTTGTTCTTTCATGGACCCATACTACCATAAAAAGCTAGCAAAATATCAAATCACAAGTACTGTAAATCAATCTGAGTACGTGGTTAAGAGTGGCTAAGCTGCATACCCGCTGCACTTTTCAGATGATGATCAGTGTTGTCAAGTAGAAATTGCTTACAGATGTTGCACAGTCAGTACTTAAAGAAAAGTTCTACTTCTCTGATGAGACTCAAAATCACGCACGCTCCAGTTATACTTAAGATCTCAGAAGGTAACACACTCCAGTTATACTTAAGATCTCAGAAGGTATCCAAGGCAGCTCAGCGTGGCGCTTTTCACTTAGGAGATGCTGAAGAAAACAGAAGGCACCACAACTGGTGTTGGACAGCTCTTCTGCAGAACCCTACTGCTGCTCGCCTCTCCCCAGGCGATGACTTTCCATACCTATGGATCTGACACCAGTCAAGAAGAAATATCCACCTTTCATAACTATTGAAATGACTGTGCAGTTCTGCTAGAAAGTAGCTGTATTCTGCAAAAGAAACATACTTTTACACGTACTTCAAAGTAGCTGACTTAGCTCCTTTGTGTGCTATTCATTGGTTTTTGTCTGGTTTATAAAATTTTGGTATCATTCTAGAGCAGGATGAAAAAAAGAGTTAACTTCCAAAATTACAGTACTTTACTAAACCAGAGAGTGGACAACTATTATTTCAGATAAAATAACTTCTAAAAAAGTGTATGTTTATATTTACATGAATAAAATCCAAAGCAAAGATGTGTCTTTTAGAACTTGCCAAAATTTATAATGCCTGAAAAAAAAGCCACAGCTTTTGCTAAGTTCCTATCGATATTGTGGAGAAATATCACTTAAGAAACATTTTACAGCAGTAAACAATACTCATTATTCCTGCAAGGGTAAACTGATGTGCCACTATTACTTACGTTGCTCTACCACAATCTGAATTTCCGGGTTCTTAGCTGTAAGATAATTTTCCAAGACCATATACTGTTTCAAGAAAGTTAGTAAAATTTCACGCAGTAGCACCTGATCTGAATTTGGTTCTGGAGAAAAGCTCTTTGTTTGAAAACTCTTCAGTTTAATAAGGGAAAATTTCTTCAATATCAAAAGAAGAACTTCAACAAACAAATGCACTGAATGTGGAGTTAGAGATTTCTAAGGATATTGTTACGCAGCTTTTGTAGTAGACTTGATGTTTCTCAACTCCTAATGAGTTAGGCATTGTCTCAGTGGTGACTCTTCCTTCAACAGGCAAATGGTGTTTGCCTATTGGGAGTTTAGTCATACAAGAAACAAGGTTTATGTTAGCAACAGCATAATGATGGTCAATCAGATTTTGTTTAAAATCATAAGTGAGACCAGAATCACTTTGGAGGTCTTGAGACAGGAGGGGGAAAAAAAAAGGGGGGAAGAAAAAAAAAAAAAAGGAGGGCTCCACCCTACACACCTTTCATTTGTAGGACTCCCATTGTCTTCAGGAGAAGCTGCACAAGAAATCCTTGTACAAGCATGTCTGAATTTTTTTCAGCCTGACCAACTATTGCTCAGTTTTGGATCTAATACTAGTCTTTCAGTACAACCTTTCAAACTTCACGTGGAATGCAAAAAGTAACATTCTGTCAAAGGAGAAATTATGCCAAAGCTATCCATAAGCTGAAATTTTTATACCATTCCTTGAAGTTCTTATCTCAATACTCACAGAAAATGTAACAGATTTGTCATTGGCTTCATCTTATATGGCAATTCTCATATTCAAAAGAATTATTGAACCCTTTCATCTACATTTACTTTTCTGTAACTAGACTAAATGATCAGGGATGGTGTTGCCATTTCAATTTATGCAATATATTGTTCCCAGTCAGTAGTGAGATCCCTCCCTGCAGTTAGTAGCTGGAGTCCAGAAAGTGCTGAATGTCTTTTATACCTATTAAAGGTAATCC